GGAATCCAAGACTTCGACTTTGTGCCCTGCCACTGTGTCTGCGTCCAACCCTCAGTCCGAGTCCGTCGTGTCGAGTGAGTGAGTGTGTGTGTGTGCTCTCACTCTCTCCCTCTCTCTCTCCTCTCCCTCGGCTCACCCTCAGCCTCACTCTCGTTACACTCTGCCAATCTTAATTTCTGGTGATCGACTGTGAATCTGGGCCGTCATGCATGCAAACGGTCCACAATGCCCACTAAATTTTGGTGACCAGCACCCGCCATCGGAGGACGAAACCGGTAGGTCCTTTGTGGACAAGGGAAGTCGGTAAACTTAAGTTTGACTTCAGCTTGACACGACTGCTGCTCTTCTGATGGTAAAAGCTGCTGCTCTAATCGGTGGAGACGCCAGTTCAGTTACGCTAAATTGCGGACCCTATCGAAGATTCTAAATGGTGATACAGCATCTTGAGCCCAAACCCACATTTACGCATGTGTAGTAGAAAACGTTAAATCAAAAGGGAGCCGATGGAAAGTTCCTGTAACCGGGAATGTAGAGGGATGACAGGCAGAAGTGTAGGGACGAAGGGCGGCACCCAATAGGGCCTTACAAGGAGGATAAGGGAAGCTGAAGGACTCCGAGGGGGAGGAATGGGTAGATGCGCTCACTGCTATTGAGGATTCGAATTAGATGTAGCAGATGAGACAGAGGATTGGAAATAAGCGGCCTGAGATAGTGCTAGGAAGCCGCCCCCGCGCCTGCCGTCCCCTGAGACCCTTCTGCTGCGTGACTGGTTGCTGCTAGGAAGCTTCCGGCCAGTAGAAGCATCTCTGAGGAGGCTACGGTTTGGGGGCCGGGACACTCCCTGGCAGTCTCTCCCTTGATAGGCGACTAGGACCGCAAGGTAAAGGCTGTCCCCTCTTCTACATCTTGTTCTTAGCCTGAACTCCCTGCAACCGGACTGACGCACCCCAGAATAGGAGGGGCCTTGCTTTTTTTTTTTTTTTTTTTTTTTTAACCACCACTACCTTTCTCATATGTGGGGCAGCGGGCCTCAAATTCAAATTCGTCTGCCACGCGCCGTTGATAAAAAATATCGATGGCGACGTGGCGGCTATTTTTCAGGAGTAGGCTACTAGATGCCCGCGGCCGGCATATGGGAAAGGTAGAGGTGGTTTAAAGAAAGTTCCTGTAACTGCAACATGAGGAAAAGAGCATGGCAGCCCCAAGTTGCTCACATGAGATCAGCTGACGAACTTAACGATAGAGCAAAAAAACGGCACGGTGAACCACCATCAGCTGGCTGGAGTGACGCGCTTTGGGCCGATGCTCACATGGTGAATCCACAACAATAAATTTTGACAAAAGCAGGCGGGTTGAACCGATGCGCTTTGGGCCGTTGCCAAGGTACGACTCCTCAAGAGGTCCAGTCTCATCGTGAATTGTTCAAATGGCTGGTCAAACACAGTCATGGCCAAGCCGCCACTCCTAGGAGGTCTAGTCTCATCGTGAATCGTTCAAATGGCTGGAGGAACACAGTCATTGCTATCTACGTTACTTCTAAGATCTCATTCTGATATGTTCTCGCTTGGTTGATTTTTGTCCAAAAGAAATCCTGAAATTGGCATTTCTTTCGACTTCTAATGTGCTGATGCCCTTCTAAAAGAAGGGGGAGAAAAAAAGGTGCTGATGCCCTTGTTGGTTGCACTGCAGGTGAAAGATATGAAGGACGCAGCAATACACAACCCTGACTTGGACGGATTCTCGAATGGAGGTGTGTCGTTGGATGCCAACAACCGGCAGCAACCTCGCCAGCAATCTCAAGCTCAGCAGCCGGTGGACCCCTTCTTGTCGTTCTTAGATCTTGTGGGGGAAGTATACCAGGTCTGTCCACCAATCTTTCGTCCACTTGTCTGTGCATGCTTGTCCAACTCTGAGCTGAATCCTGCAGCTCTCATCTGCAGTGTCACATCGGCAGTTGCATTGTATAAAGGAATTCCAATTCCAGTCTCGAATTGCGGACACATTCTCTTCATTTCTTTGCAAAATGCGAACATTCTTGTTTCCTTGAATTGAGGATTGTGTTATTGTATGTCGAGTTGTTGAAACTAGGTGTTTGTGCCTGAGCTCCAGAGTCTGATTCTGGGAAGAGATCCTTCCCTTTGGTATATGTGCAGATCATCCAGATTCCTGTGTTATGTGCCCTTTCTCCCGTCCTGGGCGATGTTGGTTTCGACTCATGTTTCGGTGGCTGGTTTGCACTTGCTCCGTATACAATTTTCATTCTCATTAGTGTTGATTGCTTCTTTGCTCACCTATCATCTGGGTGTTTTTCATTTTCTTTTTTCCCCTGTGCGTGTGTGTGTCCATATGTTCTTTCAGAATGATGATCGCGGCTTTGCACTCTTACCCTCTGAGAACTGTTGTTGCGTGTCACTCTGCACAGGGGTTCTTCTTTCAGCCTGATAGATGGGCTGCTGGTCCACTTTGGGAATGCATATGGATGCGTTCTATACGTATTAGCCCTCCCTCGTGGTCACAGATTCTGGTTGTTGTCCTATGCATGGATTTTTTGCAGGTGTGCCAGGGGGCATGGAGGAGTGGGGAGAGAACACCGTTCAGATACACAGTGCACACACGCGCGCGCGCGCACACACACACACACACACACACACACACACACACACACACACACACACCTGTCTCTTATACACATCTAGATGTGTATAAGAGAGCGCACACACACACACACACACACACACACACACACACACACACACACACACACAGAGAGAGAGAGAGAGAGAGAGAGAGAGAGAGAGAGAGAGAGAGAGAGAGAGAGATTGGGCGCGCGCACACACACACACACACACACACACACACACACACACACACACACACACACAGAGAGAGAGAGAGAGAGAGAGAGAGAGAGAGAGAGAGAGAGAGAGAGAGAGAGAGAGAGAGAGAGAGAGAGATCTGGGTCCTGGATCGTTTGAATGTCTTGAGGTCAAGCTAAACTGACTCGATGTTGATCTCGTTTGGCTGTTCCAGACAAATCCAGATCTTATGGTGGATAATCAACCTCTGTGGATGTTTGTCATGTACGCTGGAGAAGATCACAGAGGTTTCCGAACGCTTGTTGCATTCTTGGAGATGCTTACAGCTCTAGTAAGTACTAAGTCGAAAGTGCGCCTTCCCTATTCTCCCTTGTTGTATGGGTGATTAAAGAAAGCGATGTGCGTGGCCGATGGCTCTCCTTCGGCTAGCTGCATTTGCCTCCACTTTACCAACTCTGTGCACGGTATTTGGAATCTGTGTGATGTGGCATGATCTCGTTTCTGTTCTTTTCACTTTCGTTTTCTGTGATAGTCTATGCCCTGATAAAAAAAGGAAAAAGGAACTGCATAGCAGGTTGTGTCTAGTCTTGGTGCTATTGAGATAAGGTACTATGGATGTGGGCACAGTCCCTGAACAATGGGCCAATGAATCTGTTTTTGTAGCGGCTTGTAGCGTTTCAACTTTAAAACCACATCGGAGTCGATTTGCCTTCACACTTTTATCTTGTTGGCTCTTGTTGGGTTTTGACGAGTTTTTTTTTTTTTTTTTTTTCAATCTCTGGATTGCAGATAGCTGCTTTACGAACCGTGATCCAATTTTGAAGCATTCCCCTTACCATGTCTGTCTGTTCGGTCTTCACTAGTGAGACTTGTTAGTGGATCGTCTTATGTGTCTCTTTGTGAACTTCTCAATCAGTGATCATCACTCTGTCAGTTTTGTTGATTGTTGATGTGCATGGCGTAGGCTACGAGTGAAGTGGGGGCAAGGCAGGTTCATGGATTGCTTCAGGGGCGAACAATGCAGATGGTCAGCTGGCATACACTCTTCCACTCACTCAATGTCTTCGATTCAACATTTCGGCAAGCGGAGCAGAAAACTGGCCGGCTGCCTGAGTTTCGGCTAGGTGATGCCAAAGCTCTTGAGGCATACCTTCGTGTGCTGAAAAAGGTAAATGTGCTATGTGCTTCTGACAGCTGCCATAAGATGTGCAGAATAGAAGAACCGTAGTAAGATCTATACAAGCCTGAATGGAGACTCTGTGCTTGTGCGTGTGTGTGTGTGTGTGTGTG